CACTGCGGGTGTGTATGTTAAGTTAGCAACACCCAAAAATTGGTCCGCAAAATGCGAAGCGGTGTGCAGAATTGGATCCCATGGGTGTGAATACCCATGGGATCCGATCCTAGTGCGGGTCATATAAAATATATGGCTCCAATCGCACCGCACACAATTCACATGCGATTTGCACAGGAATGCGGTGTGGTTCCTGTGCAAATCACATGCGTTGTACCGCACCACATATGTGTTAAACCAGCCTAAAAGTAGCAATAAAGGTAACAATAAAAACATTTTAGTTTGAACAGGTTAAATCACTGCAAACTGTGTACCAAGAAAACTAACTAAGATAATTGAGTTTTATCTCTACTTCCTGCTCCTTACCTTTTGTTTCTTGTAATGTCTTGCCATAACATAGAATAAGTTTTATAATAACGTAATGGCATGGTTATACCGACAATATTTTGTTATGGTTTATTAGTATTTGTGTAATGTGTAATGGATGTTTTTTAATAATAATTACACCAAATATTTTATTAGAATTCATAAGTTACCTCTGATAGTAACAATAATCATAATTTAAGGAAAAATCAAAAAATCATACCCAGGAATATGTCCCAGATAGCCAGGTTGAGAGGAAGAAATTGCTTTGGGTTCTGAGCCTCTTATCTAAAATAAACGCTACCATCACTAAAATGTTGCCAAATACAGTAAGGAAAATAAGTAAAGATATAAGCACAATTATTATGTATGTTATGCCTTCTGAAAACTGTAGTTCCAAACTAGCAGATTAATTAGGGACAGTAAGATTTTAACTATTTGATTGCTGTAGGTAAAAGGTACCATTGTATTATAAAGTCAAAGCATGTTTAGGATTTTTCTGCTACTTTATTAACTGTGATGTAATGTTAAATTGTCCATATTTCATGCATTTTAAACACTTTGATTTTAAGGCAGAATTAGCACTGTGGTATTGTACATCACTGAGACATATTAGTTTGTTTTACACTTCAGATCCCAAAAACCCCAAGAAATTAATGCCTACATATCACATTCACAGTTTTTAAGATAGGGAATACATACACATAAAAAATGAATCTCCTGGGTTTCTATAGATCACTATATCAATCCCTAAACAATTTGCTGTAATTTAATTAACAAAGCTTCAATTTGGGAATAAATCAACTTTTCAACAATGAAGTCTCTAGTGCATTTCAATGACAAAATATCGATCTCTAGATGTGAGTGTGCATTTATTTCCACATTCAAAATTAAGTGGTTCAGACAATGATGAGGGAGGTTAGTTCCAAAGCAAAAATAGCAAAGTGCAAAATTAGGTTTTGCATGTTTACTTTTGTATTTGCCTGACAACTGTTTATTTCAACAAATTCAAGAAACAGAATTTTAAGCCGTAATTCCAGCCTAAGCCTTTTTTAAAGTGGTTATAAAAGCCCACCAATTTTAACAAAGTATACATCTGGTTTGCTCATTAATCCATCATCCATCCATACGTTTATCATATAAAATTGTTGACCGATTGTAAGCCCTTCTTGCTTTGCCACACATCAACTTCCTTTTTTGCTGAGTGTGCACCCAGCTTCACATCACATCACTTTCGGGACAACATGTCCTGTCATGCACTTTGGTAATGGACATGCTCATCACCTCATTTTATTAGCTAACTCAAGGATGAGCAGCATCCTCGTCAGCTGCTGAAGAGTCCTCAGAAGCAGCCCCTGCCAAGATGGTACTGACTGAGTGTGACTACCCATTCACCTAGTGCTCTACAGCTGCTGGGAGGTTGGAGATAGCTATGCAAGCTCACCTTTGCCCCATCGGGAATTACCAGTGCATGGTAAGCTTTTGGAATGCTACACAAAGCCTTGCAGGCTACCCCAAAAACAAATAACCAAGCAACTGTCCTGAGAGATCCAGGAACTAGGCTATTTACAGTTGACCTGGAAACCCTAATGGACAATACTGCAATGCTGGTAGTCAACGACAACAAAGAATTAGTCCTCCACCATGAGTACCTTGAAATTAGATCCAGGAGATCCAATCTCCAATTCATGTGTATAACGGAAACAGTCCTGGAACCCAATCTGCAGTCACTGCGCTCATCCATGAGCTTGTTCCAGCTATCTCTATTGAAAGACTTGAGTTAGGGGCATATACATCGAGCACTTGTCAGGAAACCCACTTCGGGTCCTCCTAGAGATGTCATTGTGATATTCTTTTACTTTCGTACTACAGATAGCAATATTCGGGTAACTCGGGCTAAACCTACTCTCACTTTCCAAGGCTTTGGATAGCAAATATTCGCAGGTCTGGCTCTCTCACCCATAGCACAGTGGGAAGAACTGAAACCAGTGCTACAGATCCTCCAAAAGCACTGCATCATTTACAGATTCCCCTTCAGGTTGATTTTCACATGCCAGGAATGCATATACTCCTGTACAACCTTTTCAGAGGTGCAACAACATCTGGAAAATCTCTTTCTCCTCCAGCACACCCACAATTCAAGTCCACAAGTGAGCAGGTAGTAAAGCCATTCCCCTGCTACGCAGTCCTCACCTCCTTCTTCCAGGAACTCACAGTCAGATGGATTCTACTTCAACTTACAGTATATTGCCAGCAGTTACATTTTTTTTCTAATGTTTGTTGTTAAATGCATGATTTCCTCCAGGAGGGTGTTATACATAGTTTTTCAGAAGGCATTGAACTGTGTGATGTTGTAAACCATTGCACTCCATATACATGGGCCTCACCCCCTAGCCTCACTATACTTCTTCCACTCTCTTTTTTATGGCACTCATGATTCTAATATTGGATTCTGAGCCAAAATTGGATATCAGGATTCCCACTGCCATAGACACCTCAAGCGTCATAGCACATCATAAATCATTGTGACCTGACCTACTTGTGTCAATTTGTAATCATGGATTCAGGCTCCTATACCTCCCAGACGGGCTGATTTCTCAGTTCCCCTACAGAAATCCTCACTTCATTAACCAGTGACTTGATTTTGTATATTGTTTGCGCTGGAGACTGTGTTGGACTGACTGGATCAGTCACTGGTTGTAGGTGGGTGGGTAGGGAGAAGTCCCTCCAGTTAGTTGTACCCAATGGTGGATATTGACGGTAAACCCTTTTAGGGTTTGGGCTTCTGCCTTTCTGGTACAGCCTTGAGGTCGCTTCCACACGTATACTTAGAATAGTAGAAAAAGAAGGAGCACCCAATGTACAAAAGAATGCACTTTTGATGGTAGATTAGGAGGCATTTATTGAGAGTAACGAAAAGTACATCAAGACAACACATTTTGGGAGAAAAGACTCTCCCTTCTTCAGTGCTGTTGTTGCACACTATTAAATGGGAAAAATTCCCACGTCGGTTATATATATTTTCCAGGTTTCAGAGGAAAAAATGACACTATGTGTTTGGGTGCACTGGGTGCTCCAAACTTATTCAGATGATACTAGGCAGCAAAACTCCCAAAGTATCATACCTCTAACGAAACTCTACTTTGGGCTACCCTTGAAGAAGTTGATTGTGACCTCTTAGCTATGCTTTATTTACTTTGGTTTAATCCATGCAATAGGAATACCTTAAAGTGGTAGTAAATTATTATTTTTTTAACTTTTACCTACAGGTAAGCTTATAACAAAACTTTCCTGCAGGTAAAATGAATATCTCCTAAACGTGTACTGTTGAAGAGATATACCTGTGCTCAAATCCCAATAGCTAACACATGCATTCAACCATCAGGTGCCAAAGGGGTGTAATCACATGTCAACACAAAGAATTCTGAAGGGCCCTCTGCACACTGGTGTATACCCTTTCAAGCAGACTCTGCAATAAATAGGGATATTTAGTTCACACATATTGCAATACATGTTTAAGCTGGCCAACTGCGTCAAAGTAATCCCTCTATGGCCAGTCCTGCTCTGCTCTACCTACGCAAATGCCACTGTGGACACAATGCCAACATAGGGGAAAAGACAAAGTGGGGGAGAGCCATCAGGTTAAAAAGCTGATGTTCCATCGCACTCTATCAAAAAAAAATGGTTTTAGTTGAAAGAACAGCTCATTTTTTGTATTAATTTCCCAACAATACACCCCCCCCTTCCCAGATACCCTATCATGTATTGAAAAAAAATCTAATTACTCTCCCTGCATGCTCTAGCTCTGCCCTCAGCATCCTCCCATGCTGCTTATTCACACCTTCTGGGTTGAATGAAAGCCAGGGTCAATACTTCAAAGTTTGATTTAGATTAGAAAGCAATGGCAATTTGCTACATAAAGGTACTGGTTGCTAGTTCTTTAATTAAAGCACATCATTCAACTAGAAACAAAATTTTCAACAAATGACACAAGAAATATCTCAACTCGATATGTATAATAAAAACAGTAGCCAGTCATGAGTCTGTATTAGTACAGTGTTCTTATCACAGGGAAAAGTATTTCATATATTTTCTATACATTTTAATAACAACACTCTATAAACAATGTTGGAATACATTAATAGAACATTTAATTGGATCTAAATAATATTAAGAAGGAAAGCTTAATGTTTATTAAAAGTCATCCATTTAAATCTGCACTTTTCAGATATTTTAACTAAAGCATCTCTAAAGCTTTTGTGACACAAAGGGTAGATAATTGGATTCACTGAGGAGTTAATCCATAACAACCAACTTGTAACTTGGTTCCAGTAGGAGTCAACACATTCATCATGGCATGCTGCACGGATAGTCTGAAGAAATGTGTAAGGGGCCCAGCAAATCCCAAATACACAGACAAGAACAGTCAGTGACTTTGCCACTTTCTTATCCCTAGAAAGCTTGGCGGTGTGGATATTTGAGCTGTGAATCCTTCCACTTTCTGAAGAGGAGCTATGGAAATTTACAGATGCTTCAAGCACTTTATTTTGTGTTTGATTCTTGTTTTCTGTTTCGCTTACATTGCTAGATACAACAGCTATGTTTATGGATGCTCTTATATCATGAGAATAATTCACATGTGAAGAAAGAGCATGACTTCTTTTCCGGCTTCGTAGTTTTATGTTCCAGTAAATGCTAATGTTAAAAAATGAAATGCTTATCAGTGGAAGAAAGAAGTCAAAAGTTGAGGCCCCAAGAAGGAAGTGCCAGTTGTAGTAATATCCCGCTAAACACTGACCTTCAGGAGTGTTGTTGTCACCATACACATAATCCCAGACAATAATAGCTGGACTGTAGAGAAGGAAGGACAGCACCCAGATTGTGGCCATCTTCACAACAGTCTGCCTATGGTTGTTTTGTTGATAACGGTATGTCACCTAGATAACATGAGGACAAAAAGGATCATGTTTGTTGCTCTCACAATAATTTAAGCATTGGCTATCTTCAATTTAGAGCATACTAGTCACAAAGCAATTTATTTATTACAGTAATTTATATAGAGCCATTAATTTATGCAGCACTTTACAGATATTGTACATTCACATCAGTTCTGGCCCTCAAGAAACTTAAAAGCTAAGTTACCAGCTCATATGAATACATGCTAGGGCCAATTTAGACAGCAGCAAGTTAACCTGCCAATATTATAACAGAAAACAGTGAAGTGCTATAATCATTATTTACAGTTGTGTTCAAAATAATAGCAGTCAGACATCACTAACCTGATCAATCACTGTTTTTGGTAGAAATTATATTTCTACATGGCAAATAATTTACTAGCAGGTGTAGTAGAGTAATAGAAATCCAACAGACCCAACAGTCATGACATGCATGCTGCTGATTCTGTGTAATTGAATCACTAATTGAAAGGGGCATGTTCAAAATAATAGCAGTGTGGAGTTCTATTAGTGAGGTCATTCATTCTTTGAAAAACAGGTGCCAGTTATTGCCCTTATTTAAGGAAGGAAGGCAGCAAATGTTGTACATGCTGGTTACAGTGTAAACTGTGTTTCTGTCTGAAATTCTGAGAAAAATGGGTCGTTCCAGACATTGTTCAGAAGAACAGCGTACCTTGATTAAAAAGTTGATTGGAGAGGGGAAAACGTATAAAGAAGTGCAGAAAATGATAGGCTGTTCAGCTAAAATGATCACAAATGCTTTAAAATGGCAACCAAAACCTGAAAGACGTGGAAGAAAGCGAAAAACTACCATTCGAATGGATAGAAGAATAGCCAAAATGGAAAGGACTCAGCCAACAATCAGCTCCAGGAAGATAAAAGAAGGTCTAAAGTTACCTGTGAGTACTGTTACAATTAGAAGACGCTTATGTGAAGCCAAGCTATCTGCAAGAAGCCTTCGCAAAGTCCCACTGTTGAAAAAAAGACGTGCTGAAGAGGTTACAATTTGCCAAAGAGCACATTGACTGGCCTAAAGAGAAATGGCGCAACATTTTGTGGACTGATGAAAGTAAGATTGTTCTTTTTGGGTCTAGTGGCCGCAAACAGTTTGTCAGACGACCCCCAAACACTGAATTCAAGCCACAGTACACTGTGAAGACAGTGAAGCATAGTTGTGCAAGCATCATGATATGGGGATGTTTCTCATACTACGGTGTTGGGCCTATTTATCGCATACCAGGGATCATGGATCAGTTTGAATACATCAGAATACTTGAAGAGGTCATGCTGCCTTATGCTGAAGAGGAAATGCCCTTAAAATGGGTGTTCCAACAAGACAACGTCCCCAAACACACCAGTAAACATGCAACATCTTGGTTCCAGACCAACAAGGTTGACGTTATGGAGTGGCCAGCCCAATCCCCGGATCTTAATCCAATAGAACACTTGTGGGGTGACATCAAAAATGCAGTTTCTGAGGCAAACCAAGAAATAGAGAAGAACTGTGGAATGTAGTCCAATCATCCTGGGCTGGAATACCTGTTCACAGGTGACAGAAGTTGGTTGACTCCATGCAACACAGATGTACAGCAGTTCTCAGAAACAGTGCTTATACAACTAAATATTATATAAGTGATTCAAAGGAAAGAAAAATCTTCAAACATTTTTCAGTTTATATAGTGAATGTTTGAGTTTGTAAAGAAGAATACAAACACTGCTATTTTTTTGAACAGTCTAATATTCACTTTTCTTCAATTTTTTTAGAGGAACAACACAAATTTGATATATTTGTCTTCATGTTTTGATTTGGAATAGAATGTGTAGTGTTCCCAATGCATTTGTGTGTATGGAAATAAAAGCTATTAGAAGGATTTTGAGCTTTATTCACTTTTTTCAACACACTGCTATTATTTTGAACACAACTGTATATCTACAGAAATGTATACATGATGAATACACTTTATATTATTACAATATCAATATATATAAAAGAACCTTGCTAGGGCAAGGAAAATCTTTCAACATAATTATATGCCAAGAAGCATATGAGCATTTCTATAATATCACATAATTAGAAATTCTGTTCTACTTAGAATTATTTCATACAATTACCAATGCACATACTACATATATGAGTGCTGGCACTTACATAAAGTGCTTCATAATCTTTTTAAAGTATCTTATATTACATTTCATCTTGTATGTTACTAACCCAACTGATAATCCCAGGGACTCTTGGTTATCTGCCCAGGATGCTCTAGACCGAGTGGTGTCATCCTTGGCAGATAAAAAGCATTTATTTTCCAAACTGGCATTCTATGAAGGCAAGCAGGTGGGTAGGCTATTGGCCAAGATTGCTAGAGCTAACACCATTGGTGACTTGAGAGGTAGAGACGGTGGGCTAGTTACTGCCCTAAACTCTATTAATGCAGAACTGGCTTTATTCTATTTCTCTTTATACCAGTCTAAACAAACTTGTAAGCCTGAGGATATATGCACCTACTTGATCACTATTCGCTTACCAGTTCTGCCTCAACAGAGCCGTTCCATGCTTGACTCTCCCCTGACATTGGAGGAAATACAGATGGCGTTTCCTACCTGCAAGGTGCCAGGTGATTCTGGCCCACCCACAGAGGTGTACAAGCAATATGGAGAAAGTATATTGCCTTTTCTGTTGAAGGTCTTAAATGTGGCCAAGGAGTTGGGTAGTCTGCCTTATTTCTATGACAAAAGCTAATACTATCCTTATAGTGAAGCCAGGCAAACATCCCACTCATCCAGGATCATACAGACCAATATCTCTGTTACAAAGTGATATTAAGATTTTGGCAAAGGTACTGGCTCTCCGTCTTAACTATGTTATCTCTACAATCATACACCCTGATCAATCTGGGTTTATGCCCCAGAAGTCAACAGCAGTCAACCTCCGTAGGCTGCTTCTTAACATCCAAGCTAGACAGACAACATGGGTGAGAGAACACTGCTGTCGTTGGATGCTGTCAAGGCCTTCAACAGCATAGAATGGCAGTACCCCTGGGCTGTCCTCTCTAAATTTGGATTTGACCCCATCTTTATCTCCTGGATTAAACTGCTATATAATCTCCCTGTAGCATCCATCAAAGAGGACAGGGGACTGTCTCTCAGATTTCCACTGGGAAGGGGCACCCGTCATGGGTCTCCTATCTCCGCTATTTGTTTTTATTTATTATATTGCTGTTATTTGGTGACCTCAATTAGACAAAATCCCAAGATCATTGGCTTTAAGTATGGTACACTACACGAGAAAGTCATGCTTTATGCAGACTGCTGTTGCTAGGCGACACCTCTGGGTCTCTAGAGGCAACTATAAATACTGTAGTAAAATTTGGGGAATTCACAGGACTCCTTATCAACTGGGACAAGTCATCTTTACAGCTTTTGGACTCTTGCCCCACACAGGCTATTGCCCCTTCCTGCCCTGTTCCCATTACCTCTTCCTTCAAATACTTAGGCATGCAGGTTACCCCTCAACTGCTAGATTTCTGCAGTTTAAATATAAACCCCTTTTTAACCGCTTTAGAGAAAAAAAATATTGAACTTCATACTGTAATACAATGCATGAAGGTATATGTAGTATATATTAATAAAATGTGGTACAAGTGCTTAAAATTACATAAAGCTTTACTGTGCTCAATAAATAAATCAGCTTTTATTCAAATTAACTTAACCACTTTCTTTACCATGCTATAGCTGGATGACGGCTACAGCACGATCGTCCAGTTCTGGGAGGGTGTCACATGACTTCTTCTCAGAACACGCCCCCCCATGCCCCCAGCGGTGCGCACCTAGCGCTGTTTGTGATCGCTGTGTTCTTTGGACTTAGCTGATCACATGACATGGTGAAAAGACAATCACAGGTGCCTTTTACTACATGATCAGCTGTGTCCAATCACAGCTGACCACCATGTAAATAGACTTGCCGGTTATCGGCAGTATGAGGAAAGAACTGCTGCTAGCCAGCAACTGCCAAAGGAGACATCAGCACTGATTATCAGTGCCCTCATTATCAGTCCAATTCAGTAGAAAAAAAAACTCCCCCTATGGTCGATGAGTTGGTTAGTGATTAACACTCCTGTCTTGCTTGCAGCACTAGGGTCAATGGTTTAAATCTCAACCATAACACTGTATAGGTAAAGGACACACAATGAGCGCTCTCAAAGAAACATCAGCTGAACATCCCGGATAAACGCATGTAAAAATCCTCATTTAAACATATACATATAAAAATGCAGCGCTGTAAAATGATCAAATCATGCAAATCAACGCAATAATAGTCCTGAAAAGGTGCTCATTAATTCCCAGTGCCAATGGAAAGAATGCAAACTAACCAGAAGCATATTTAAAATACGCATGTGTGTAAGAAATCCTGGAGATTCCCCTCTCTCCCTCTGGTCAGAAAATGGATATGTGCTGAAATGGATGACGATAACGCCCTCTAGTGGGAAAACGAAATCCTGCAGGTCAGGAAGCTCCCAGGATAGGATATTCCTCTTCAATGGAACCAGGGCTGGGATTGAAATCACACTGTGGCTGTGAAATTGGGAGAAAGACCCCTCACAGAGAACACAGAGAGATACTCATAGTGTAGTATATTACTTCAATTTATTTAAAAAAAAACAAGTAAAACATATAATCAGGTGGCAAGGTCCTTGCTCTACCTCAGAAGAAGTGCGTGCGCACGAAACACGTCAGAGGAGCCTGTGGACGTCGTTGACACTACGCCACCGGTGCCATGTGGAGGCCCGGCGGCCACCTATAATTTTAAGAGGGTCAGTGGGTCACTTTCACTTGCCACCTGATTATATGTTTTACTTGTTTTTTTTAAATAAATTGAAGTAATATACTACACTATGAGTATCTCTCTGTGTTCTCTGTGAGGGGTTTTTCTCCCAATTTCACAGTCACAGAGTGATTTCAATCCCAGCCCTGGTTCCATTGAAGAG